CCTCTTTGCTCTGACATATAGGTCTTGGATTCAGGAATTTTGTTTTGTTCCAAAGTCACCCCAACTGAAAATATTCATGTCATGTCATGACTAATTGTATTGATGGAGCATTTAAAGCTCCATCAAATCTTCTCTTGTCAATAAAAGAAGACTGAGGGGAGATAGGATAGCATTCTACAAGTACTTGAAAGGCTGTCACAAAAAGGACATGATCTCTTCTCCATTATCCCAGAGTGCATGCAACAGAATAACAGGATCAAGTTACAGGAAGCCAAGTTCCAGCTAGATCTCAGGAAACATTTCCTGACAGTTACAGTAGTACAACCATGGAACCAATTATCTAGGGAGGTTGTGGGCTCTCCAACACTAGAGACTTTCAAGATGCACTAGAGACTTTCAATGGCAACTGGTCAGCCATTGGAGAGGATAGTTTAAACTGGAGTCCTGCACTGAACAAGGGGTTGGACTTGATGGTCCTCTGGCTCCTTCCAACTCTACTATTCTACGATTCTCTGAAATTTACCACAGCATGGCAAAAAACCTCATGATTTGGCTTTTAAAAAGCTGCACAGGAAGTGCAAGAAAGATGCACAGGGAGGGCAGAGTTTACTTATAAGCAAGATTGTGATTAGCCACATCACTGTCAGTCTTAAACACTTAAGTAGCAAATGCTAATGGCTAGAAAAATAACAGAAGAAACTTCCTGAAATTTCCCAGAATATCTCCATGTATTCAGTTGAAAAAACAATCTAAGAAAGAGGTAAGCATCCACTTTATTTTCCATCTAAAGAGGATAATAATATACTCCAAAATAAATAGTTTAGCAGTTGTGACAGCATTATAGAAAATGACTGCATTGTATTGTTACAGGTTGCCTGCTTTCTTAAAGTTTCCAAGCTGTCAAGTAATTCCTTCACCAATGGATACTCTTTTAATCTTATTTTTATCTAGGCAAATTTATTTGCAGTAAAAAGTAATTCTGCTCTTGATTAGGTAAGAGACCATTCTCAAGGCTGCTTACATCAAGGAAATTCAACCAGAGATATTAAGAGCACAGTTTGTAATTTTATCAGTTGTAACTGAAGAGCCATCTTTCAGGGAAGAGAAATAACCTTAAAGAACAATCACAGTCCACTTTTCATATAAATCCATTTTGTGCATGATGGAAGTGTAAATTGTACACCAGGGAACCTGGAGATGATGATATAAAAAAGCCCACAAAAGATTACAACGAAGGAGAGAGAAGATTGCCAGCTGGCTACCTTTAAACTGGCCAGCTGACAATCTTTGTACTGCTATTAAACACTGACAAGGCTACTATTTTTTATATTATATTATATTAATTTATTTAGGGCATTTATAGGCCGTCCATCACTGTCGTCTCTGGATGGCTTACAATATAAGAGCACCTCCAACAAAGACTCAAGCTGAGATATCTTTCAACAGTCACCAAATGTAACAAAATAACTTCCAAAGATGTATTCCATATGTCTAACCATGGATGTATACAATAACATGCAATTGAGATGTTTATTTCTTAAAAGAGTAAACAAATGAAGAAAAATTGTATATCATTCCATGTTCTTTTAATAGATTTACAGCAAATGCGAAGTACTATATACTCCTCTGAAAACTCTAACATGAATCCATTTATTTTCCAGATGCCAAGCCAATGCTTCAAACACATACATTTTGCTCAGTAAAATGTCTAACTTGCACTTCAGAAGTTCAGAGTATCTACCTTCCACTTTCCACCCCTCAGTTGGACTACTGTAACACACTCTATGTGGAGCTGCCCTTTAAGACAGTCAGGATACTTCAGTTGGTTCCAACTAGAGCACCCAGGCTTTTGACAGGGGCTGGCATGCTTGCTTACATAACACTGGTTCTGCACCATGTGCACTGGCTACCACTGAAGTCCGGGACCAAGTTAATGTGTTCACTACGATGTATAAAGCCCTGCATGGTTTAGGGCCTGGATCTTTGGAGGAGCATCTCTTTCAGTATACACCTGCCCAAGTCCTAAGATGCTCTTCTGAGTTCCTTCAGGAGCCCTCTTTGAAGGAGATTAGAAGAGTGGCTATCCAGAGAAGAACCTTTTCCATGGTAGCACACCAGCTTCGGAACCTGCTCCCCAGAGAGGTATGCCTGGTGCCAATGCTTTATTTACTTTCCCAATATTTTAAAAGTTTAATGTTGTTTTAATGGTTGGCCTTTATCACACATTTATATTCTGTGTATTTGTGCTACTTATTGTAACGCCATCCTTGTTATAAATGAAGTCCTTTGGTATAAACAAGGTATTAATGTTTTAAATAAATAAATTTTGCAATGTGTATATAAACAGTTTTAAAACTCTGCAACCCTAGTATAAAACAATGTGATTATTTCACCATCATATAAAAGACTGGGAGAGAAATCAATGCAGGGATGAAGAATTCTCTTCGGGCTGACCAAGTTGCAGGTTGTAAAAGAAACATAATTTTCAAGAAAAATGTATGAACGTTTGAATAGTTAGAATCTTAATCCTTAGTTGACATTGCTAAAATATGGCCAATGGAAAATGTCTGATTTTCCCCACTCAGTACTTTGAAACTATATGACAGGGTGGCCAAACCAAGTCTGGTGAGCCACATGTGGCTCTAAGTTTATTTTGCAGCTTACCACTTGCCACCTGACACCCAGAAGCACCCACTTACCACTTGCTGGCCTGATGCCACCACCTGCAGGCACCCACGGTTCTCAAACATCTAACATTTACTATGTGGCTCTTCCATTTAGCAAGTCTGGCCACTCTGGTATACAAGATTATTATCTAGAGGAGATAATACTTGAAATATATTTACATCAGATGCTAATGATAAACAACAAAAAAGCAATCAATAAAATTTGAATGCATATAATTCAGACTCTGAAGCATGACCTTACAATTAAGAGTTGGAATGAACACTGAACTGTCTTCTTGCCACGTGGTTGCACAAATCTGAAGTGGCACTGAATTCCTTTCTCTAAATGCTGAAAAAAGGATCCCTCTTTGGTCAATTCCCTTTATTTCCCTGTTGCCAGAGATACAAATATTTAGCTTGCAAATTCAGGATCAAATTAACCAGATCACTTAAATGTGCAGATTGCACTTGTGCTGAATTCTCTGAAATCCAGTCTTCTAGAGGCCAAGGCTTCTTAAGCAGTCCTACATACCAAGTTGGAGAGCCACCTAGTCTAGAATCTTATTTCACACAAAAGGGTCCAGTCTGTATTAGGTACATCTCTATTATGAGACACGGGAAAGAGAGAATCATGTTCCAAGCCTTCCACCATTTAGTCTAGATTAAGCTCTGATCCTATCCTAAAGGTTCAAAAATTCAGCACCACAGCTATTAAACATTAGACTGACATTAGCAATGAGTACTCTGAGGAGCCATTGCTTCTAGTTTAGAGTTTACAGAAGACTTCTACTAAGGTGAAATTTGCTAAATAGACTTTTTGGTATAACAATTCAAAACACAATTGTTACCCACTTTACCCATATTTCCTGAAAGTTATATCTGTTGCAGGTAATTTCACTGTGTTTTGTCTGCTACTTGTTCAGTTTTCCATGTAGTTCTCCGGAAATTATGTTTGTTTTTTTCAAAGTTCAAACATCTTTCCTGAAATCTTTTTCTCCTAAGAAGTGAAAAGGCTGCTGTCACTTCGGATTCCATTAACTGAAAGTAAGTTAGACAGCCACTGGTTCCAAATTTTGGTGCTATGACAGCACTAAGAAAAATGTTTTAAAGATTGCAGGTAAAATGGATGTGCAAAATATAAAAGAAGACGGAATACATTGATAAAAACATACCAAAGAAATGGGAAGGAGACAGTTGTCACTGAAATGAGTAAGGATTTGTGAGGAAGGATTATTTTAAGAAAGGATTTAAAGCAGAAAAGAAAGCTGACAAAAGACTAAGAAGGAAACAGTCTGTGCTGGATATGGGCAGATCATGCAAAAAGCCCAAAGGAAAGATGAAATATAGTAGCAACCAGGAGAGATAAGAAAAAATTATTTAGGCAGCCAAACGATATGCATAGTCAAATGTACTTCCCACTGAGTGCAATCAAACTATTCCAAATATCAAGGATGAAAAACTTCCAGTCTATGAGCTGGGTATAACCCATGGAGATTTTCTGTCTGGCCAGCCAGCTTCTTCCCTAGTCCTGCCCACTTTCCCCTGCAAGGAAAATCCTGTCCAATCAGCAGGTGACCAGAGATAATACTGCAAAGTTATTCTGCAAAGTTAGAAAGGAAGCCTTTGTTGCAGGAAAAAGCTCTCCTCTCTGATGTGCTGCAGATCAGGGCTAAGAGCTCTAAAGGACTTTCATTCATGGGTCACCTTAAATTAGATTATTTGACAGCATGGAACATCATCATCATGTTGTGAGACCAGTGCATCCTGAATAAGTGGGCCAATTTTAAAATAAATAAGTAATTCATCTATTAACTTTTAAAGGTGTTTATGTTATGTTTTATTATACTGCTGTATTTTACGGGTTTAAATTTTGTAACTACCAGAAAGCATCAAGTATGGCCATTCAGAAATGATGTTTTATTATTATGATAATTATCACCCATTAACCATTCTGGCTGGGGATCATTGGAATTGAGGGGCTCACAGGAGAATAGCGTTGGGCTAAGAAGAGACAGGTTCGTAGCACCACTTAGCCAGAAAGCGAACTGCCTAAACTACCTCAGAGGGTTGTTGTGAGGATAAAAGGAAGAGAGAAGAACCATGCAGCCCATTCTGAGCTCCTTGGAAAAAAAGAGAAATGCACTTATGAAAACTAGCTGTTAACTATTCACTGATAAATCATTCCTAGCGGGCCCATTCCTTTTCAGCTCGCAAGTCCAGCAAGGCTGTGGGTCAAGGGCCTTCGCGCGGCATGCTTAAAAGGACGTCCCCTCCGGCGGCTCATTCTCCGCGATCTAAGCACGCCCGATCCCCTTGCTCTTTTCCCTCACTCACCATCGTACAGCCACCTCCGCTCCGGCTTCCCGCACGCCAAGCCTCCCAGCAGTCGTTGCCCGCTCACCCACTAGAAACACGCCGCCACCAAGCCGCTTCTTAGCAACTGAAGCCACGCCCCCTTCTGACGCCGCCACTCACGCTTGAAAAAGGGGGACACTCAGCCTGAATTTCCGTTAAAACCATAGAAAGGTTACGTGGCTCTGATTTTCTATTGGCTTGACATGCCGTCACTCTCTAGACGCTAACCGTGGAAAGACTTGAAATTGAGACCGGAAGCGCCTATACCGTACGATATCGAGGGGGGGGGAAAGAATGCCGCAGAGGCGGAACATCCTTAGGGCGTTGGACGAAGCATAGAGATAGAAATATAGAATATTCTCCACTTAGCTGAAGATAAACTTTCCTAGTTGCTTTCGCACTTTTCTCCTGTCACCTTTCCCACCCCTTCTGCTTCGATGCAACTAGGAGCTGCCCACAGAAAATAATTGAGAAACAGTTTTCCCTATTTGTCCTCCGGCCCCCTGAGATGGGCAACAGAAGCCCTCCTCTGGGAACCCTCTACGAAAGACATTAGGAGACAGAAAATCTGGAGGAGGGCCTTCTCTGCGGTGGCACCTCGCCTATGGAATGCACTCCCCAGAGAGGTCTGCCTGGTGCCGTCATTATATGTTTTTTGGTGCCAGGTCAAGACCTTTTTATTTAATCAATATTTTAATATGTATTAATAGTAATTGGATTTTATTGTTTGTATTTTAATAATTACAGCAAGCGTGGAATAGTCAATTTATCTATTTTATTCTGATTTATGTTGTAAGCCATCCAGAGATGCAAGTAATGGATGGAATACCAATTTTATAAATAAACAAACTAAAGTAAATACAGGGCTTTAGGAACAATTAGGGGCGTTTTAAGAGGATTTTGAGTCTTTCTAGTGGAGGACTTAACAGGAAAAGAAACATACTATGGGAGAGTCTAAATATTTAAAAATATACCTTCCAATGCAAATGCAATTCATGCTTATCTCATAGAATTATAGAATCATAGCATAGTAGAATTGGAAGGGGCCATGAAGGCCATTGGGTGCAACCCCCTGCTGTTGCAGGACACCCGTTTACACCATCCCACGCAGATGGCTGTCCAGTTTCACCTTGGATGTCTCTAGTGTGGGAGAGTCCACCACCTCTCTAGGCAGCTGGTTCCACTGTCACATTGCTCTGACAGTGAAGAAAGTTTTCCTGATATCTAGCCTGAGCCTGGGTTGTTGCAACTGGACTTGATCATTCCTATCGAAGTGTCCTACACTCTGATATCGCTCACACTCTGTCCTATATTCTGATATCAACAAGAAAAGATCTTGACCTTCCTCTTTGTGAGCCCTTGAGGTACTTAACAGAGTGATACCATGTCTCCCTCAGCCTTCTCTTTCTAACAGCTGAACATACCCAGTTCTCTCATATTGAAAAGTGTGGGCAATGGCTGTAGTTGAAACAGAGCTATAAAGCAGCTCTGCAGTGTATTCTACTAATGATATTACAGGTTAGAAATAGAGCTGCAGCAAAGACCAATCTGTTAAGGACTAGGACCTGTAGCCGCCCACCCACATCAGTTCTAGGCCAAAAATCTTGATTCAGCCCTTGCTGCCAGGGTATCCAGGGTAGGCATGGCTGGGCACCTGGCAACAGTTCACTGACAAGAGCCCCTGGAGTTGCTTTGGCCTTGCCCCCAGCCTATCCTCCTGCCCCTTGCTCTGGTCCAGATAACGGTGGTGGTGAGGAGGACTGGATGCCACTGGCTACTTTTATGTCTCTGCCTGTCAACAAGAAATGATGAAGAAGAGGAAGAGCAATAGTGGCCAGTGGCAATGGTAATGAGGAGATTAGACTTACAAAGAGGTCAGGGCAAGTGGAGAGTGTCTTGCCTGAGGACCCTCAAAATCAGGGAGCCAGCACTGCCTATTGCACTCCAGTGCAAAACACTCATTTCCAATGACTTGCATGCAGTTGCACTGTGCCTTCGGTGGTTAGAAAACTCTAATCTAATTGTTCACGGGAGAAAAAAAAGTGAGAAAATACAGACTCTTGCCTGGAAGAGTATATTAAGGCTGGGATGGAAGGGGAGTATATTAAGGCTGCAATCCTGTACATTGAATTCAATGGGAATTTCGTCAGAGAAGACAAGGATAGGACTGCAGTACAAAATTATGAACTTCTCTGAACTTGTAAGGGTAGCACTCACAATCCCGTGAGAAGGTTCAAACTCGACTCAAGAGGAAAGCTGTATGTGCAAGTCTTTAATTATACTTCTACATACGGAAGTCAGTAGATCGGAAGTTATTGCTTCTGGAAAGCTGGAACGAGGGGTGTTGAAAGAGTATGAAGGCAGAAGTGGCCTGTATGAAGAGTGTGGGACGGGCTACTGGTAAGTGGGGCGAGGTGGTTCCTTTGCGAAGTATCCAGTTGTGAATCTGTTGAGAAGCGGGTCCTGTTTAAAATACACGCGGTTAAGATCGGCTGTCAGAATCGTCGCGGGTCGGGGGGGGGGGGTGTCATTGTATGTTATCCTCCCCGATCCTGGTGCCCTCTAGATGTTTGGGATTTCACATCCTGTCAGCCCGAGCTAATACGATTAATGATCGGGATCGCTGAGAATTGTAGACCACAACATCTGAAATGCTCCAGTTTTGGAAAAGCTGCTTGGTCGCTCATTCTATGAATGTTTGTTCTGTAGAAAGCAGCAGCGAATTTGAATCTGACTCTCAGGTAACGCTGAGGGGCTGAAAGGCACTATATAACTGCACGAGTATTTAACGAAATCGGACACATAATGTGTGATGAGGTCACGGAGAAGCTAAGAACCATGCTGGATCAGACCAATGTCTCCTCTAGTACAGCATTCTATTCACATCGTGGCCAACTAGCCGGCCACAGGAAACCCACAAGCCAGACATGACTTCCAATCTCTAACGAAGAGAAAGGTAATATCTGGTGGTTAAATATAGCAATACCCAGGCTGGACCGCCTCCAAAATAAGGTCTATACAACTCAAAAGCACAAAACCCACAGGTACCGCCATTCTTTTTCAGACAATATAAAATATAACAATAATAAATATTTATTGCTTTTTCATGACACAAAAAATCTGCTGCATGATGACGTTCCGCCAACTAATAGTAGGGCTAGCCCCTGAAACAGGTGGTAAAGAAATGGTGACTAAACTCTGAAGGAAACCAGAGGTAACCTGACAGGACATGCATGTTTATTCAAATTAAGTTCATTTGGAGGTATAGCCTACATATTGATGAGCTTGCAGTCTTAGTCAACTTCCTATTTCAAAATAATAGTTTGCCTGCATTTGTCAGCTTTTGCATTTCACAAACACTGACACTGGGTCATTTCAGAGTTGATGGCAAGTGATCTGTGTTTGGTGTTTTTCACTGAACTATATGACATCATGTGTTTTCTTGATAGTGTCAGATGAAACAGGACTATCATTCTATGCTGAATGTATAAGCAATATAATTTAGGCTTCACAGGTGTTGCTCCATTAAGATGCATCTTAACCTACCTGGTCACATTTCTGACTTCCCCCACCCAATAGAAGCTCAAGGGTGGCAGTTTGGGGATGAGCCTTCTCTGTGATAGTCTCGTATTTATGGAATGCTGTCTCCAACAACATTCACTTGATGCCTACACTGTCATCTTTTTGTTATCGGACGAAGATGTATTTCTTTCTCTAGGCATTATTGTGTTGATTATAATTTATCTTAATTTTGGGTTTTCATTTTATTAATTATAGATTTCTGTATTTATATGTTTTAGTCACTTTGAGACTGCTTTCTGTTGGGAAGTGATGACTAAAATTAATAGTAATTCTAATGTTTGGACACAGGATTGAGAATGGAATTTCAAACCATATCTTTCCTCAATTAAAAAAAAGGTTATCCCTTTGCATATTTACATATAATAGGGAAGGGCTGCAAATGACAGAGCATGTCCTTTGCATGTAGGAAGTCCTAGCTTTAACTCCTAGCATCAGTAAGGAAGAATGGGGAGAAAAACTTAGCCTATTTGAAAATCAGAAAAGTCACTGCCAGAACTAACAGTTCTGAACTGTCAGTTAGAGAACTACCTAGATGGCTTTGTTTTTTCCTTTGATATAAGGCAGATTTCTGCGCTTATTGTTATGTCCACACGTGTTTCATGGTGAGTAGTCAATTTGGAACCTTGCACATGCAGAGGAGTTTATGATATGCATATGTATTAGTCACAACAAACTTTGAGCTGTTATAAAATATGCTGATTTAAATTGTGAAAAGAAAGGAAGCCTAACAGTCTAGTATTATTTTTTTAAAAGCAGGTCTAAACATAGGAATATGTGGCTGTAATGGCAGGCAACTAGTTTTGCATGATAGCGTGTGCTACCAGACCACATGAAAGAGGTATTAATAAGATGTGCACCAATTCCCAAAAAGTTGTAAACCATCCTTTGGCGGCAGGACACGGAACCTGACACTAATTGTATTCACACATAACAAGCCACAATGGAAATGGTTCATTGATATGTGTGAATTCAGAAAGTATGATGAAGCATGGCACATTTGGTTATGTTGAATCCCCATGGAGAATCAGTGGTCTTTTCTAAGTTTCCATGTTTCAGCATTGCTTGTCATGATGTGTGAATTCAGTTACAATGTTTTTCCATAGTTTCTCAATTTCTGCCATGAAACTTGGCCTCAAGAGTGGCAGCAGCAGGTGCTCCAGGCTCCATTCTTTGCTGTCCTGTTCCACCTAGCAATTGCTGAGGCAGCTGCAGCCGCCCTCTGATTGACTGCTTTGTGCTGCTTTTTCCCTTTGTCCAAACGCTGGCTTCCCAATGTATAGCCGCAGCTCTGGAATATCAACAGCAGCAGGGAATTGCACACCATCTTCAGCAGCAGTGACCTTGGAAAGCAGATATGCCTGACACTCCTGTCTGGTCACTGCACTTTGGAAGAGCAAATGGCTGTGCGTGTGTTATAATTGGAGACCCAGCACTCTCCTCCCCTGAAGGCAGTTTTGCACATGAGGAGCATGCTGGCCATACTCAGGCATAGCCATCAGAGCAATCACGCTGAGAATCTCAGGGCTCCTGTTCACTGTCCTGCTCTCCCTGCCACTCCTATCCTGTCCCTGCCATTCTTAAGAACTCTCAACAAGTCCCACTGTCACCCCCTGCCCAACTGCAGGACAAACACATTCCTTCAGGCCAGCCTGAAACCTTTCCCAGGCAAATGCCCACATGTGCTCTCATAAAAAACTATCCCTGCAGGACATGCTCCCTCCAACCCTAGCATGGGTGCCTACAAAGATGCCCTCCATGCACCTCCATGGAGGGGAGGTAGCCTGTGGCAGCATGTGAAAGTCCTGTGCATGTGTGGGTGGATGTGCTTGCACACTGGTGCAGAGCAGCAACGGGGAGCATTCCTACAATGATCCTCTACAGCAGTAGTTTTCAGCCTTTCCACAGCTGGGGACCTGTGAAAACAGGAAAACCACCTTGGGGACTGCTGAGGCAGAAACAAAAAGCACCATGTACATAATACAGTATTCTGTGTATTAGTTTCCAAACACAATACCAAAGGAAAAGGGGGGAAAAAAGAAAATTCTCCAAAACAACCAGAAACTGAGCAACAAAAAAAATGCCAACAAAAGAACAAAATACTGAAATTGGCGCAGCGTGGCTCCCACCAAGCTGTCTCTCCCCTCCCTGGTCTTACCAGTAGCATCAGCGCACCCCCACGAAGGTGATGCCAACCAAGGAAGAGGTGGTGCAGCACAGGCAGTCCCCATGCCGGTCTGTGGCAAGTGGAATGCAGCTCCCTCACAAACCAGCAGGAAATCTCCCATGGTCCGGTGGTTGAAAACTACTGTTCTAGAGCAACAGTGCTAGTCTAGTGAATGAGTAATAAGTAGTTGCCTCACTGAGTAATAGAAAACAAAAACAAAGCAGACAACTGGCTGAGAACACACCCAGGGAAGTGTGCAGGCCAGTGAGGTAGAGGTTGGTAGGGCAGGTAGTGGTGCATACTGGGATTGACTGCCAGATGCAGAGGTTGATGGGATACATGCATCCATTTGGAGAAATGATGGAGGCACATGGAAACAACTAATAACAACTATTCTGACACAAATGTGTTAGACAGGTAACCGCATACTAACCATTTGCTTTGTGTGCGCACTCAGCCACATCCTGGATACATTGGAGGACACTAATTATCATAATTTCTCTCAATACAACTTGACACTGAATCTGATAATTTTTATGGATGACTGCTGAAGGGAGAGACCGAGGATGTGCAACCTTGTTGATTCTCCTTACTTTCTCTTCAGATTCCAATACTATCAACAATGGAATGCTTCTGGAATGCCTGTCCAGGGTGGAAGCATTGTTCTTTGGTAGTTCCACTTTTTCCTGGCAGATAGATTCCCGAAAATGGTGCTGGGGAACTGTAGTTTGGTGCTGTGCTATTTCAAAAGTTTTGCTACCCTTTATGATTCCCCTTAGGAATTTAAGTACTGCAGGCATCTGCATCCTGGACAGTGAAATGTGTGGGAAGCTGCTTGTTTGTGGGGATCTTTTTTCCTGGGTTGGGTACTACTGATGCTGCTATTGGGTGCTACAAGAGAATTACCTACAACATGTAACTGATTTTGATGTATTTTTTTCTTTTAAGGTTTAGTGTTTGTTTTTTGTGCGCAGCACCAGCAACAAAATGACAACTCTACAGAATACGGAAAACAGTAAGTGTTGATCCTTTTTCAAGACTAGAAAGAACATTGTTAGAGACATTCTGCAGATGGAAGGATTTGTGACAAAATTTGCCCCCTCCCCCAAAAAACCCCCTTAGAAGTCCATGAAGTAGTTTTGTCAGGAATGCTTGGATATTGGTTATTTGGCAAGAGACAGTTACTTAGTTTTTGTTTACATGTTTTTTTGCTCCTGCTGATTTAATGTGAGTGCTTTTAATGTCATTTAGTAAACTATAAGTTGGCATTATGTGTAGTTCTGCAGCAGGCATTCTTTCTGTTTTGGATTCCTAATTTGATTAACCATGGTTCTTCCACACTTACATAGCACTTTAAAAGGAGGTGAGGGAGAAAAAATGTTTGGTTACTCCAAAGGTTCTTTTCCTCCAGTGAAAGGGTATTTTAGCTGCAACCCACTGACGACTACTATTTCATTCAGGTATATTTTGCATGTTAACCTATTTTCTTTCTGTCTTTAAGCTTCAGCGGAATATGCTACCTCACCTATCCGTGGTCCTGGCGATGGTATGGAAATGGAGCACCCACCAAAATCAGTTGAAGCAGTCCACACCACGGCCTCCCATGCCCATCAAAGCCCACACAAGAAAGAACTTCCTTCTCTAAGTCCTGGAGTTCTTCAGCTAGGGAAGATATATGGTGATAAAGCAGTGGAGATTGAAGCTGTACGAATACTGGTTCCCAAAGCTGCTATAAACCATGTGATTCCTGCCAAAAATGCAAAGACATCAAAAGCTGTACAACACCAAAGAGAGACCCTTACTCTATCAGAGGGAAGTTCAGATAATAAAAAAGAGCTGTTGGAGCTTCAAACAGAAATAGGAAAGCTCAAAAACTCAGAAAGACGACTGTTACAGGATAAGGAAGGTCTTTCCAATCAACTCCATGTACAAACAGAGGTAGGAAACCCAAGAAATAGGCTTCCTTCATTACACTTTTTAAAATACTACCCCTAGAGGGAGAGATCATAAAAATTCTATGGTCTTGGGACACCTTTCACTGACCATACAGTTGCAGTCTTAATTTGTTCTGCCTTTTTAAACTTATTTCATGAAAATGAGACGATGAACACTAGTTTCCTTGGTTCCTTGAAGCTGTGAACTATCATTTTTTATGCATTCCTAAACTCTGATTTTTAAAAAAAATATTCCAGGGGAAATTATGCCTAAGTGATTATTTGTTAATGTATGTAGCCACACTATAGGAAGATATTTGTTCACAAGCTTGTTTTGGTATCTGTGTATATTCAGACTTCACAGCTATTCATTCTTGATGTATATAAACATTTCTATGAATGTTATTTATTTTATATGTTGGAACATCTTTTCAACAAACATGGTGTTAAATGTGGCTAACACTAATAAAATACAAAATAAAATTAACACAAAAGCATTGTGATAAGCAAAGCAGTTAAAATATGAGCAGAGAGCTATGTGGCTACAAGACAGTATATAAAAGTGCTAAATACATAAATATGAATAATTGTAATATTAACTTGGAATATTGTCTTGCCTTAGGTCAATCGGGAGCTGAAGAAGTTACTTGTTGCTTCTATTGGGAATGACTTGCAGTATCACTTTGAACGCATGGCCCGTGAAAAAAATCAGCTGATCCTTGAAAATGAAGCCCTGGGGCGGAATGTGTCTCAGCTATCTGAACAGCTAGAGCGGATGTCTATACAGTGTGATGTTTGGAGGAGCAAATTCCTAGCAAGCAGGTATTTGTTTTAAGACTATCTTGAGGAAATGACTGTGCATCTATAGAAATTGAAAGTGGACACAGATACAAAAATACTTTCTGTGGGGCAGTTCCCCAAAATCAGGGTGTCAGATGAGTCTAAGCAACTTAGTTTAAGTGGTGTAGTAGTATATTTGGAGATGCCAAATGGTGCAGTGAAAGTTGGCTGGTTGGGGTGGACTTGCTGGGGAGTGCTGCTCAGCTTGTTCTTGCCAGAGCTCAGCCTCAACTACAAAGTTAGGGTTCTTATAAAGCTGAGTTGCTCACAGCCCAGCTTGTTGACCCCAGCTGCTTCCTCCTTTGGCTTGCTTATGAGGCTAAGCAGGAAGCATTTATATTGCAGTGGCTCTGCATTCCTCTTTCCAGATAGCTTGGGTATCAGCCATCCTGTACTAGGTTTGTGCTCAACAATCTTGAATACCATAAATATGATGTAGAAGTGGATATCCAACCGTTAACTGCATAAGTGAAAAAGCAGTTTAGGGGCCTAGTATAGGAGATACTACAATTACCCATTTACTTCAATGCTATCTAGTACTTAGCCAGATTATAGCTATTACTTGGAAGATAAACCCGTTGATTTGAATCAAACTTCCAGTGGAAAAGCAGGTGAGATATATTGGATAAGGCATTTGACTTGGACCACAGTGACATTAGGCTTATTTTACATTTATTTCCCACATTTTCTCAGAGGAGCCCAAGGTGGCATACATGATCCCCCTCCTCTCCATGTTAACTGCACAGTATTCCTGTGAAGTAGATCAGGCTGAGCATCAGTGACTAGCCTCAAACCACCCAGGTTGCTTCCAGTGGGTAAGGACTAAGTGTAAGTCTTCGCTGAGTCCTACTCCAACAGTCTAACCACTGTATCAGCTCTCTCATTAGGTCAGATTCCAGCTCAGCAAAAAGGGTTTGGCTCCAGGCTTCTATCTCTCAGCCAGCCAACCTCACAGGATTATTAAAAATCTAAAATGAGAACTTCCTATGAAAAAAAAGTTGGCTAAATGTCCTAACATAGTATATTTAATTAAAGTTCATCAATTTTGGAATGTAAAAATAAGCTGATGTTTCCTTATTTTTGATCAGCTGCAGTTGAGGGTGCAGCACATAAGTAGAAACAGCTTATTATCTGCTAATGTACAATTTTAATGTAGAATTTTAAGTCAGTGGATATGCATTACCTGCCTGAGACATGTGGAATTTCTTCTACAGAGTCATGACCGATGAGTTGTCTAACTCCAGAGCAATTCTCCAGCGTCAAACCAGAGATGCACAAAGTGCAATTCAGGATCTGTTAAGTGAACGCGACCAGTTTCGTCAAGAAATGATTGCTTCACAAAAGTATGAACACATGTTGATTCCAGTCTCTGATAGCTGTCCTAAAATCCTACCTTAACAATTTCTATTAACACTTGTGGATTATTTTTTAAAGCCATAGAGCCATGAACCACTTTTAAGATTTACTGTTGAATCAGCTTTCATGGATTAGACCACACTTATAATATATATCTGCCTATAAATGGTGGGTTCAAATGACTGTGAGATGCAAGAGGTAATATCAGCTACATACAGGATAAGCACAGGAGTTGTTCATAACAAAAGTAGTAGGGTTACTCTGTTTCTTCCTAACTTTGCTTCTGTCCATCAGTCTCTGGGCAGAACAGGATATGGCAGCATTCAGATACTAAACAAAGAAATTTCCATGCACTGTACTGCATTTACAAGTTGCTGTTCTCCAACAAAGGAACTTCAGAGGGAGATTCCAGCATTAACATTGCTGAGCTATAATGTATTAGTAAGTTTGATTCTATTAAGTCTAAATCAAGTTGAATTCAGATTTAATTGAACTCAGTGTGCAACATAAATGGCTAATGTAAGCTCCATTGATTTCAATAGGAACAGAGTGTAATTTATGAGTCCAGTGGGGTTTTTTCCACTAGTTAATTAAGATAACAAAATCAGGATGATTTTATTATCTGTCACCATTGTTAATTATCAGTATGCTTGTTAAAGACCCATAAGCCTTATATACTATGATTGCATACAATCATCAATTATCCATGTCATTTATAATAAATTCCATGGTCATTTAGCTCCAATATTTATTTCCCTCTTATTTTCCTGTGTGCATTAGTATCTGCTAACTGAAGTACATCTCTTAACTTTTGAATGCCAGCAGACAGTAACAGGGTTATCCTTCTGAAACTTGTTTTTTGTTACTGACCAGTGAGCAGACTGCCATATTATCTTGTTTTGAGCATTGGTTGGTAAGCTTAGTTTTCCATAGCATGTTCCCAAATATTTTGCAAAGTCATCAGAATTCACCAAAATATGAAAACTTTATTCCATGTGGATAAGAGGGATTGAAAAGGCATGGCAAGTCGACCTATAGGTTTCTGTCCCAGTTGCTTGACGCATGTTGAGACCAGATATAGAAAAAGGCTTGCCATCATCTACCTTTACTTTCACTCACTTGACCATGATCAAATTGGGATTCTAACTGACCATATTCCTTCTTCAATGGTATTTCAGTTAGTCTACACAGGGTCTGTAGATCACAGCAGAAGTTTCGTTCACACTGTAGTTCCTATCCAAAATGGTTGTCAGAAATTACACAATGGTGTCTTCTCCCATCAGCAACAAGTATGTAACCAGTGATTGCTGAAGTTGGATGCCACCTGCGTTCCATTCCCTTCTTTCCCTGTTGTACTCCTCATCTTGCCACTCTGTGATCAAAATCTGCTCACCATGGTCTCAAACATTCATCATTTAAACCAATGTTCTTATTTCCTTTACAGGTTGCTGGAGGAGCTGCTGGTGTCTCTGCAGTGGGGAAGGCAGCAAACTTACTATCCTAGTTCACGGCCTTATAGTACAGCAGAACTAGCAGCTGTAAATCATAAACTTGCTAGAGCAGTGAATTCACATCTTCTTGGAAACAGTAACAGCACTAAAAGTCCAAAAAAGGGATCTTCACCTACAGAACTCTGCAACACTCCTGCTGAGAAAATGGCTGAAATGGTAAAAATCCTTAGTTATGATAACATGTTACCTTTCTTTTGAATGCTAATAGGAAGTTGTTTAATGCTTGCTTTCCAGAAACACAAAGCAGCAGCTTTTATTGGAACACAGCTAGTGCTGAGTACTGAGCTGTTATCTCTGGTTCTACAACACTCCCATATCCATACAAAACTGTATATTCATACACTTAAGAATGCCAGTTCTACCAGTACTGTCCATGCAGTGAAAGATGGGATCTGTAGTACTCTGCCTTTATTCAAAATTAATTTTATTTATAACAGACTGTTGAATTATATTTACTTCCTCAAACCTAGAAATGTTTTCTCTTTTATTCTTTCTATTTCATGACTTTCCAAGGATTTATTTCATAGTCCATTAAGTTGCAATGCAACATGGCAGAGCTAAGCCTTCTCTGCTCCCTGTGCTAAAGCAGCTGCAGCATCTAAGGGATTTATGGTTGGATGGAGCGGTTCTAGTGCCAGGGTGAACTATGATCTCAAGAGCTGCCCTGCCTATCAGAGAAGCTGCAGCAGCTCTCCCCCAGTGCAGAAGTAACTCACTGCTTCTGTTGTTTTCAGAATAGGCAAGGTTACTAAAGACAGTAACTGAGGGCGTTCTTCGTGTAAAAGGAACTGTTCCAAGAGTTTCACCATAATGGTTATTTTCTTCCAGGTACTAAGAATACTGGATCCTGGTACATCTACAGAAGCAACATCAGAACTTCCTTTTCCTGAGCCTTCAGTGTCCTCATTCCTTGCCCCAAAGAAGAATATTGGACGATTCCATCCATACACTAGATATGAGAATGTAACTTTCAACTGCTGCAATCATTGCCAGGGAGAACTGATAGCTCTTTAAACATTTTCTTTGCTTAACAGCCAGAGCTATTTCAAGAATATTCTTTCTCAAAGATCTGTAGTCACTTTTCTATGCTTTTTTTCAGATGGGATGTGCTTGTATTAGAAAAAATGCTTCTCTTACAGATTTGATTTCTTAAGATTTCTGCTGAAAAGGTCTGGGTTTTGCAGGCTGGTATCACAATGCAGTAAGAGCAATAAAGGTTCCTTTCCAAGGCAAAATAAGAAGTTAGAATACACTGTATAGCACATAGGTCATTAAGTAGAATACACACGTTATTTTTTCTTCAAGGAAAGGCTGAATGAGTATAACCCTGCAAACATTAGGCTTTTTGATTTTGCTTCCTTTAATAGATCTGGGTACCAAGTTCTGTCAGTTGAAGTATTTATTTTAGTTTAAAATGATGCTGAGTGTAGTGCTTCAGTATTTTTACAGTCTGTTTCCAGTATTGCTCTAGCTGTTACAGGAGCAGGTACAAGATATACTATGAAGAAAGACTAAATGCCTATTCAGTTACCCTGTTCATAAAAAAGCTTGAATGAATTTGGGCATTGACTGAAGTTAAATGAATTACAGAGAGCATTAAGGATATACAATTCACATAAAATTGAAGCCAAAGAACAGTGACAAGTTTGTAATGGAAACTATTGAGGTGATTCTTAGTGTATTACAAACCTCAACAAGACAGGCTTTAACAGCCCCTGAATAAGTGTGTACAATGGACCTTGAATTTAGACATCTTCTATTGGTGCTATTAAATATGGTCAGACTGATCTTCTGTCTCTAGAGAACAAAACTTGCAGATTTATTTTCATATCTCTTAATTTGGAAACAAGTAGTTGGCTGCTAAATTAAGGGGAAACCTTCCTATATATTTCTGGGACAATCACTGAAACAGCTCAACTAGGGAAAGCGTGTGTGCACATATGTAACAGCCTGTTTTGTTTAATGGAGTGCATGGACTGAGATGTGCCACAATTTAGGCATGTGTTCTACTCATTGATAATTTGTCAATAAACATCAGTAGTGTACCTCTTCCAGAACTACTGAGCTTGTAAATCCTTTGTGAAGGGTGCAATTCAGTGGGTTGTATCTTTGATGCTCGTTACAAATTCCAAGCATCCTATGCAGAGTGAGGGAAGTGGCACAGGTTATCTCTGCCTTCCCTCTCCCCACTTTCTGCAATTCAGCTACAGAGTCTACCTTTGGTACTTCAGTGGAGTGGGGATAGCTGCTGCTGGGATACCTCAAATTCTGGCAACATCATTCTCTTCTTCTTTCCCCTTGGAATACCTGTTTTACCCTTTTCCCTTGCTTGGTTCCTTCCATGCACATTGCAAGGGGCAGGGGAATGGGGATCTAAGCACAGCTTCCCAGCTCCAAAGTCAAAGCACTGATTCCAACCTCCAAACTGGGAATCTAAAGAAGAATCCTATAGCCCTGTTCAGATGCTGCCTAGGAACCACAGGATTACTTTCTAGGTAGCTTATTGTATACTAATTTTTAAATTAAAGGGACTACTCCTGAGAAATAGCAATGTGAAATTTTCATCTTAAAAATACCTATTGTGTATATGGGTATGAACATTTAAAAAACCCAAAGTCCCTAAATGTACTGCATAGCTTATAGTAAACCTGAGCAGGAAAACAAGCATCTTGCCTTTCTGCTCCCTCTGTAAACAAAATGTTCAAGACCTATACAGAGGGGAACAAAAATGATCCAGGGTTTGGAAACACTGCCCTGTGCAGAAGGACTGAGAACTGCGAATGTTCAGCCCTGAGAAGAAAGACTGAGGGGGAGACATGCTATCACTCTGTAAGTATTTCAAAGGCTGTCACAAAGAGGAAGGTCAAGTTCTCTTTTCACTGGTACCAGAGTGTAGGGCATGGAATAACAAACTCAAGTTGCAACAATCCAGATTCAGGGTAGATATCAGGAAAAGTTTCATCACTGTCAGAGCAATATGACAGTGGAACCAGTTGCCTAGAAAGGTCCCACACTAGACATTCAAAAATGAACTGAGTGGGATAGTGTAAATTGGTGGCCTGCAACAGCAGGGGATTGGACCCTATGACCTTCTTGGCCCCTTCCAACTCTACTATTCTATGATTATATGATCTGTTTCTTGAAGCACAGATAAGAACACAAAAATACCAAAAAGCAAGCAAGCAAGCAAGCAAACCAGTTTGAAAGCAGCAGTCCTCACAGCCAACATCTCTTCCTTAATACTTATGTACTTTTACTGTGCATTGTGTTAGCTCTTTGACTTTACAGTCTCTGTTTCTGTTTCTACTGCTTTTTAAAATGAAATGCAACACAAAAATCATGGGTTTTTAAAATAAAAAGTAACTATCCAAACAAGGCAGAAAAGACTTTGAAAAAAGGGGGAATACATTTAATTTCACTGATAGCTTAGATTGTGCCACAATCCTTAGGGTAACGTATTCTCCCATCCTAAAGCAGGAGAAATACATAGGAGGCACTGGGACAGAATTCTGAAGCAGTGTATCAATGTCTAGGAGTGAACGCCAAACTAGATATTGCTAATTGATAGCATTAATAACTTTCCATCTAAGAGCAGCTTTTATACAAAATGCCTCACTTGAAGATGACTGTGATCTTAATTAAGAATGATTTACACTGCAACTGCCATAAGGGCAGTCATTCTGTTTTATGCTCTGGAGAATGAAGTATGCCATCCCAACTCATTCACAAATAGAAACTTATTCCAAGTTTAAGAGGGGGCAAGATAAGTAGGACTGAGAAATTTAAGCCATTATTGAAGGACTATGAAACATACCAGAAGAGAAGCTGCTCCTAAGAAGCAGCCACTCAAGCTATACAAGATAGTGTGAAGGACATATTTTAGGCACCTGGTGACTCTAAACCTCAGCTGTATTGGTCTGTGAAGCGAAGACATCTTGGTTCAGAAATTGAACAGAGAATGTTCTCTATTTGTTTTGCTCTTCTGGCTTCCTGCCTGAGCTGCCTTGATCGTTCTTTGGCAGCTAATTGCTCTTCTCGCTTCTCCCGTCTCTTTCTCCTTAGCCATCTGCAGAGAAATGAAATAATGGAAGAAATTATCAAGTAGGCCAAATTTCATTTGAATTACCATTTCTGTAAATGATGGAAGCAGGTAATCTACTTTATGCTTAACAAAAATATACATTCCAGAACAGAATTATAATCAGAAGATAGAACAGAGATATTACAAAGTTGACTTGGTGGATCACTAGTAGTTCTGGATGCAGTTAATAATGTTTGGGAATAATACATACTTTTGAAGCTTGTGGTATGAGTGACTGCAACATGCATTAAAGCGACCTCTTTATCTAACTGCAAAACATCATACTGTAATTTACATAGAAGCATATTGGGCAGAAGCAGGTCTTGACAAAAGATTACACCCTTGAACTCAAGTACTTCCCGTTTTTGGTGTTAGTCCTAACCTAGCTTGAAGGAAGAGGTTTCCCTCCTGTTTCTTGTTTGCTGGCCAGTATAAAAGTACCACAGTCCTTGGCACAACTTAATCCAAAAATGGACAATCTCTGGGCCAGAATTTAAACCAATTTGTATGTCATTTCTTTGGTTCTGAAACTGAGTGGTTTTTATTTTTACTTCCACTGTAAAGCAGATGGATTTCAAAACAGCCAAAAGTTTAAGCATACTTAATATTTTAATGTGACTTTCTCCTCCTGATAGTCCTGGAGGTAAACACTTTCCATTCATTGTTCACTCTATGAAATGGAATGCATAGACTACAGGTATAGAGTCTTAGCCTGGGTTCACACAACACAATAAGCCATGATGGCTTAGAAGCAGGGCTGGCTTGTGTTGTCTGAATCCTGCAGCATGGTTTGTTAACCTCAGATAAAACACTCTGGGTTCAGACAACACAAGAAGTTACCCCTGATTTATAAGCCAACATAATTTATTTTGTTGTATGTAGTGTGAAAGCTGAACCACAAGGAAGGATGAGCACCAAAGAATTGAGGCCTTTGAATTGTGGTGCTGGAGAAGACTCCTGCGAGTTCCTTGGACTGCAAGGAGATCAAACCAGTCAGTCTTAGAGGAGATCAACCCTGACTGCTCTTTAGAGGGCCAGATACTGAAGATGAAACTCAAATACTTTGGCCACCTAATGAGAAGGACTCACTGGAGAACAGCCTAATGCTGGGAACAACTGAGGGCAAAAGAAGAAGGGTACGGCAGAGAATGAGGTGGCTAGATGGAGTCACTGAAGCAGTCGATGTGTGCTTAAGTGGACTCCGGGGGATGGTGGAGGACAGGCAGGCCTGGAGGAATGTTGCCCATGGGGTCATGGGGGGTCAGACGCAACTTTACAACTAACAACAACATGCAGTGCAAGTTTTCTAAAATTTTGATTTGACAGTTATCGATTACCCTCACTTCCTGTTGCAGCACCACTTCTTTTGCATGCAGGAAAAAAGATGAGGAAAAACTTAACTAAGGGGAGGAGAGAGGAATAAAGTCTTTCTACTGGGAGCAAAAAGTCTTTCTGCTGGGAGCAATTGGGAAAATATTCCCAATTGTTGCTAAACAATGAAACAGAATTGCACCTTTTAGGAAGTAACAAGGAAAAGATCATCCCCAAAATCTTACTCTTTATAAGCCCTGTCATTTTCCACTGTTCTTGGAAGGAAGAACATGCACTCTTCTTGCTGTTTCAGGTTTTGCATCTCTTTTTCTTTTATCTGTTCTTGCTGCTTTCTTTTAAGCCATGTTCTGAAAGCTTCTTCTGGATTTCTACTCTCCTGCTATTTAAAAAGAAAAAGTGCACACAATTTATTTTCATTTTCATAATCAGGAAAATATTCAAAAGCAATACTCATACAAACAAATACACCTTGGCAACTTGTCAATTAATAACATGTTGGCAATTTTTCCTTCCAGATATGAATTTGACAGTTGGTTTCCCCTATTCAGGATATATTTTGAGGCATAACCCTCTTGTTCTTTGATAAAAATGCAACCAGAAAGCATTTATATTTAGGCTAAGGTAAGGCTCCACAACTTATAAATGGATACATTTCATGACAGCATAACTGTTTTCCAGAATAATCACACCAGCACAAGAGAGAGAACTCAGAAGTGTGATAGCCAGTGTGATGTAGTGGCCAGAGTGTAAAGAATGGGACTCAAAAGATCTGTATTTAGTCAGTGCTTGGCCATGAAGATCCTTGGGTGAGTTTGGGCCAGTCACTGACTTTCAACCTAACCTACCTCACAGGATTGTTGTAGGGTACAATGTAAAGAGGCTGCCCTGGGTACTTTGCCAGAGCAGAAAAGGTAGGGTATAAATGTGATGTAAATAAATAAATGTCATAGTAGTTTATTTATTTACATCACATTTATACCCTACCTTTAGTAATAGCAGATTGGGTTTTGCAGCAAATCTGTTGCACTGGAAGAAGAAAAGACTGGACTGGATTTTTTTGGAAGAGAAGGAAAATGCATTGCCTAGTCTTTATTTTTGGTTTTGAAGATATTTATTTACATGTATTTATTTATTTACATGTATTTATAGGCTGCCTATAATTGCCGAGGCCTTCCTAGGTGGCTTACAATGCATAAAACATACTAACAGAGTAAAACAAATTAAAAACCAATTAAAACATAATGAATTAAACATCTATAGAAACAATTAAAAAGGGCCACAGCATACAGGCTAAATGTTAAAAAAATCCTAAAAAGATAAGTCTTTGTCTAGCGCTGAAAGAAAAATAGAGATGGCACCAGGCGAATTTCCCTAGGGAGGAAGTTCCAAAGATGGGAAGCAGCAAAGATATTTGCTGTTTTGAGACTTGCCAGGGAAGTAGAAACAACGGTTAATTTTAGAAATATACTTGCAGGGTGCTCAAAGCTTATGAGAAACCCTGCCATCTGCACTCAGCCTATTTCCTTAATTCTGTGGGAGATACAGGTTAGCATTAGCTGGGCCCAGAGGACAAGGTATTCTGCATGTGTTCAGAAGCACTTAATATATTTTGACTGGATAGTAAAAAATATTTTTAGCTATTTAGCCTAGACATAAGTTGTGGATCTCACCTTTGATCAAATGATTGACACTATTTACTTTGCTCAAGATTACTTTCATAATTAATATGAGATAGTCAATAGTTCAATTTGCTTATGAATAAAAATATCATTTCCTTCAGTTCAGTAAGAACTTTCAGGACAGATTAGTTACAGAAGAAACATTTATAATATAAGTAAGAGCCACACACCCTAACTGTGGTAATTAAGATTAAAAACAGAAAAGTATTGTAAGGGTTGAATAAGAAGCCTTATGCAGTGACTCCTGCTCCCCTTTTCACCACTTCCTCATGATCCAGAGTCCAATAAGGCCCTTCTCTTGTTTTCTATGCCCTCTGCATCTCCACAGGCATAAAACTGCTTATGAAAGCAAAGAGAGATGCTCTGACAGACAACATAGGTACTCTCTAACAGACCCATACAGTCATGGGTTATACACATTTTCAAACTGTTTAAGACTAATTTGGAACCATATATACACACAAATACCCCAATTCCCACAAAAAACACTGAGACACAGATTACTGAAAGCAAGGCAAATCAGCTTAAAGTAATTGATAACTGTATTGATTCTAAATCTGTCATGGTCACCTGCTTGCAACTACAGTTCAGACAATAAAAGGCTGCATTCCTGTTCATCCTTCTCAAGGAAATGGGGTTAAATCAAAGATTTCCTTTTTTTAGAACTGGGTCACAGCACCCATAGAATTTTCAACTTACTCTGTTGCTTAATCCTTCCAGCTCTTTTGCATGACGAATTCGTTTTTCTTCCTGTATTTGTCCTTTTTTCTTCTGCAACCAAGCTTTAAAAACCATGTCATTCTCTCTCCTTTTCTGCTCCTCCAGTATTCTCTTCCGTATTTCTTCCTTACATTAAAAATATTAAGAATGTTTCAAATATCTCAGTCAAAAATAAGCAAATGTTTATAACATTTTGACATGTAAGTAATAGTTTGTTTGAAATTGTACTCATCTATCATGTAAGGAACCAGAGTATGAATACTATTATCTAGTAAAGATAACTAAATCCCAGTACTTTGAGAAAAAAAATCATCTGTTAACAGGCTTCAGAAAAATTAAACACATACAAGGAAATACATGTTGACCTGAGGGGAAAGTAGATGTTTGTAGCCGGTGGTGCTGGGGACACGTATATTAAAGACAGAAGGGGTGTTCACTGGTGTTCCTTCACCAAAAGAAAACTCTTTAATCCTACATAGGCTTCTGTCAGTGGAACAGGGAGAGACAAAACTTGGGGTAATTCCCCTCTGCATACAGCTTCCTACCAGTTCCATCGGCCGGCCCCATCTGCTCTGAAAAGTTGGGGAATCCCTTTCAAATCACTTGGTATGTGACAAAAGGAGTTGCAAGAGGGAGTGAGAATTGTGAAAACCATCTTCCTTCCTATTTTGCTGAAAGAAACCTATGCTCAAACAGTCTTCTGTCAGCTGAGCAGCTGGATGCAACCTCTAATTTTTGTACAGGGAACCTAACAAGTTCAGAAAAAGTGGGAGAATTTCATTATCAGTAACAGTTGTGGTTCAGCTCAATGTTACTTAACATCTCTTTGTATGTACTCCATCTACAGTTCTGATTTTGTGCTACCTCACAAAATCACAACAAACTGTAATCTAGACAGAGCATTAATTCAAATGAGTGAAAGTATAAAGAAAGGTTTATAGACATAGATGGGAACATGTTAAATTTAAGTCATACAATCCTTTACTACAAGAATTTTTGAAAAGCAAAATGTTATTTAATACATACCAGCCAGTTCCTCAGTTTTAGAGTTTAGAGAATGAGAAAATAAAGTATTACAATAAAAACAAACATTGTACAACACATAGTACAGATGAATCCAAACTTAAACCTAGTTTGGACTATACAACAACCCACTGTGGGCAACTGCTGTATTGTCTGAGCCCAGACCATTTACTAACACTGGCTTGCTTCTCCACACTCTAGAACAAACAACACTGAGAACTCATGGGCTATTGTGCTTTCTTGTTATGCATGGTAAGTTGTCACATTGTCTAAGCTCAGATGACTGGGTGAAGTGAAGCAGCAAGTGAGACTCAACAAGTTTAGCGCCAAAAAACAAAACAAAACAAAACTTGGGAGATTTTGCTTATGAGCTCTTTCAAAGTGCCCTATCAGTGCACTGGAGGGTCTATCACTGGTTGGCCAGCAGATGCATGCAATTTTCTATTCTAAGTACAGAGGGGTGCACTTCCACACTTCCTGAAATAAGAAGTCTCACTGAGCAAATTTGGCAAAAGCAGCAGATACCAATCCTGGACAGTGACCCAAAAAAGTGCCAGATACAGCAGTGGGAGTCACTTTGTTTTCTCTTAACAGCTATCAAGGTGTGGGTAATATTTACACCACTTTTCTGTCAAGATTCTCATCTCCTTTCTTTTTTGCCTTGAGTGTCCTCAGGGTAATACATATTTTGCACTTTTCCTGTGACTCTAACTGCTCAGGAAATTGTAAATATACATCACACGCCCTTTCAGGGTCTCTTTTAAAAAAGGAATTTAAGTGGGTACTATGTGTTTCTTGTCAGAATACTTTGTATTCTTAACAGGAAAGTAAGTTCAATAACGACAATCACTCAGCCATCTAATCATAGACTCAATTTTAATACACTCAACTGAGCATTTCCTTTCTGCTCTCACCTCTTTCCTTATTTTTTCTCTTCTTTGTTCCATTTGTTTTTGCAGTTCTTTTTGTCTTGGTGACAAACAGTATGTAGAGCTTCTTATGCCAATGTTCACATTTGCTGATTGCGCCCTCCGTGGGCTTTTTCTCCTTTCTATGTTCCTTGTAATGTTGATGGCTGAGCTTGGTCGAAAAGATGGTGGTTGAGGGACATGAATAAACCCTTCTCTGGAAGAACAAGATGTCACAGGTGTTTGTACTAAAGAATCTTCTTTTGTTATACAAAAAGTGCCAAAAGCAGTTGTGTAAGAAGTTTTAGGAGAAATGTGTTGAGTTTCAATGTCACTAAATGAAACACTTAATGGAGGAAAGAAGCCTTGACTCTCAATGTCACGGATACTCAAGAGTTCAAATTTCCCATCTCTTTCTACTAAGATCTTGCCATCCTTGTGCTCATCATCTGTACCACCATTAATAGAAAGAGAGATATCTTCTTGCCCTGCTTCATTAGAAATGTGCAGCTGAGACAGTCTACCTGAAATGTTCCTTTCTCTCTGAGGATCACTTTTATCCACTTCCATAGCTTTCAGAGAAGGGACTTCAAGATCTACTAAATCATCCTTGAATTTTAGTTTTCTTTCTTTCGTTTCATCCAAAGGCTCCTGAGACAGTAGAAGTTTGTTGGCTTCTTCAATCTTTTCTAAGATGTAACGTTTTATAGCTTCATCATCCTCCAAGTCCTCCTGGTCTTCTAACTTTGATTCCCGACAAGAGCTTTCACTGTCAGTATCTGATTCCTGATCCAACAGTTTAGTGTCAAGTTCAAGTATAGTACATATTTTCGTTTGTGAACTGTCATCCTTCACTTCTTCCTCAGGCTCAGGAAGTTCATGCGATAAATTTCTTTCTCCATCCTTCAGAACTTCTTCAGGTTCAAGAGACTCTTGTGAAGAATTTAATCTCTCTTCTTTAGCTTCAAAGTCTTTGTCCATACTAGCTTCAACATCCTCCTCATTTCCATCATGATTCTATGAAAAAATTTAGAGTATTTATTTTTGCTAGGTATAAGAAATACACACATTAACAATTATGTATAAAATATCTGAAGACAATTTCTACCAGATAATTTTCTTTTCTGTTGTAACCAAGTAAAACCTTAATAGCTGAAGTTTAAAACTTGCAAAAGAATCATTCTAGAAGAACAGCTGGTAAAGTGAGAATTCACTAAATTGCAACCCAGTGTACTCTGCATGGTTGTTGGAAGACTTAGCATACATATAAGGCTGTTCACACATAACAGCAGCAAATTAATTAACTCACTGTTTGCCTCTGCACATGCTGATTGTGCAATCAAGGGTTGCTAAATACCATCCAAACCCAGGCACTACAGGTTAATCAAAAGTTAAACAATCCACAGTTAACCGTTAATTATTTAACATACAATTAACCCATCTAATGATGAGAAGACATTTAGCAACTCCCAACGAACCCTAATAGGGTTAAATATTAAAAATGACCGTAGATTGTGTCTGGCATACACCATGGAAAATCAAAAGTTGGTTATTTAATTAGCCAACAATTTGCTTCCATTACATACAAATCTGGTTCGATATTCTTCACAAAAAAGTGTGATACAAGCACAACAAATAAATCATCCTAATGCCTGGTATGCTACACATGCACTTACCTGTTTCAGATTTGCACCCATCATAAATAATGATGAGACTATATATATCTCAAGGAAAACCCAGATTTCTTGCATAGGGGTACATTTTTAAATTATACAATTCTATACATGTTTAATCAGCTGTCAAGGTCCATTGTGTTTAATAGGGCATTCTCAGTGTAGGAGTGCTTAGGATACAGTCTTAGGCTGGAAACTAAGGAATCTCTTACTGCAAGCACAGATCTCTAAATGTACACAAGTACTTCTGTTCCCCACTATAATATCAACACATCAGGTCATACTACAAGTTTTCAGTTAGCAATAGCTCAGTCAGCAATCTACTTTACAGTAACATATTTAATATATAATTTAATTACTGGCACAAGACTACAGCATAGTCTTTTGCTAATACCTGCATATCATCAGGAATTACCTTTTCTTCTTCATTAATTAGCCACTCAAGGTCTTTTTCAAAATCATCCTCATAGTCCCCACCATCTATAGAACCTGCAGAATCTGTAGATTCACTGATGTCTTTCTTGTCACTCATTGTTTCTTAAAGCTACAAAATGAGATAAAATACATATTTAATTACAAATAGAAATCAGATATTTGGAATACAGTCATATTAATAGTGATAATGTTACCATCTAGAATCTTTTCATAGGATGTGCACCTAACTATCTCAAAGAATGAAAAATCTGCCCAAGGAGTAGCATTCTTTGGACTTACAAATAATTCCTTGTGCCCATGTGAGCAAACATGACTTATAAACAAGTGATCACAGCCACCCCATAACACCCATGAAAACAAAACTACTTTTTCCAGTCACTAAACTCAACTACATGATATTTTGTTTGGATGGAATAGTCAGATATGCAGTCACACCAAACATTAGCCTTTAGCAACCTGTTACAGGTATCACAGTCTGCAGAACTGAATGCATTAGATTTGCCTCCATAGTGTTATATGTACTTTTTCTTTCTCTGACAAATATATTTAAAATATCTACACCCCATATTTCACCTCAATAAGAATTATAAAATCACTATAAAATTAAGTCAAATACAAGTAGAAAAAAATTATTCATCAAATGTTTGGAAGAATAAAATTGTATGAGGTATCTAAAGCCACAATCTTTGCATGTTTAGAGAGAATAGCACATCCTAATATTCCCAGCATTCCCCAACCAGCTATGCTAAAAGTAGGACCTTTTCCCCATCTACATAACACCAAGTCTTAGTGCATCATGTGTATGTCTCTGAATGTTTTCAATAACCACAGTACTCCCATGGAATACACCCCATCTACAGTTATCTCCTTCCTGACTTTTTAAGGTAGAAGCATTCAAAGCATTTTAAGATGAACCTGTCCATTCTCTGACATAATATGGCTTTATTGCTACAATGCCAAACAAGAAATACAGGAAAATATATCTTATTCTTCAGGTTTCACAGAACCTTGTATTGCATCAAATAGTTGTGAGTAAACAAAAGAGTCAATTTAGCAAAATTATTTTTTTTTGGAGAACAGACTGTATAAAGTCAATTCATATTTGCATTCATTTGTTAAATGGGAGTGTGGGGGGGGGGGGGCGAATCTTCTACAACATCACTAGTTCCTTGGAAGAAATCCAGGGAAGGGAATGTAGTTATCATAAATGAAATTCTACCAGAGAGTTTATGGTCATGCCTTCCCTTTCTATTCTTAAAACAGAATAAAACACATAAAGCATGTATCTTTTTACCAAATTCTTTTTCCAGCATTGTTTAAAAGACTGTACTTGATTATATTTTAATACAATATGTGCACCTCAGCCATAAACACATTAGCTATTTTACAAGCCCTCAAAATATAATTAGGACTGTACCCTCACTAAAAAAGGAGAAATTAGAGACACAGTAAAACTAAAGAGCTTGTCTCACTAGATAAAGCATGTACATCTGCTCTTTTCTTTCTTCCAAAAAGTATTTTTCTCTCCCTTTTCTTAGGCACAGGACGATCACAAAGAACGGAAGAGACGCTAATCCACTTTCTGAACACCATACACCCCATTTAGGGATTAAGGATCTTCCGCTTCTCAAAAAGAAAAAAAGGACTAGTATAAAGGGCAGGATAATTGATGGCTGAGTTTACTGAAGCTCCTATGCTGCCCTATGGCAACAGCTCAGAGCAGCGTCTCTAGACCAGCCAAAAGACCTAACCAAGTCACCTTCTATAGGAATCTCCGCAGCGTCTATGCTGTGGGTAACAGCAACTGCTGACTAGGATTATGGCTTCTACCGATATTAAAGCTGCCTATTTTTAGGTCAAGCCTGGCTAAGCCCCTTAAGCATCCGGCCTGACCCGCAAGCAAGCCCTCTACTCCTGTTGCCATGGCGGCAGCCACCGCCTCTGCCGCTTCCCCACCTCAGGCGAGGCGACGCTTCTGCTCCCTACCAAAATAACGGCGTGCCTCGGAGTCTGAGGCGGTGTTCAACTTCGGGAGGGCTCGTGGGACATTTTCTATGCGTGTGTCCGCCCGCCCTCCCTGCCACTTGCGTGCAAAGAACGAAGGAGCGCCGCCGGCCAGAAGGCCGGCCGGACGTCCACTCTCTCCCCACTTTTGGTCGAAAAACCAACCCCTGCCTTTGGTGGAACCAGCAACTCTCCGCTCCCCACAGAACCAGGCTTGGACACGCATTTGATGGCAGAAAGGAGCTGCCTCAGTACAAAGCATTGCCCGCTCATAACCGTCCCTCGGCTCCCCACTTTCATTTTTCCTCCCTCCTTTCATCTCCACCTGTGGACGGCACCAGGCAGCGACCAGCCCTCCATGGCGTTGTCATGGTAACCACTACACCCACCGCAGGGTTTTTTCTCCCCACCACTCACCATGCAGGACGGCGGCTCTAAAGGACCAAACTCCTCCCCCCGCCTGCTACGCTCTCTATCTCCATGGCAATTGGGGCGGGGAGGTATCGCGAAAGGACAAACGAGATTTTCTTCGTCCAGTGCCGTTTCCCTGGAGACGGAAGGAAGCGCGAGAGGGGCGGGAAATGTGGTTTTTGCCCGTGCAGTCCCGGCAGATTTCGGGTTCATCATCATGACTAGGGAAAGTGTGGCGGGGAAGAGTGAGGTCAAGGACGTAAAACGAACAGTTGCTGAATCAGAGCAAAGTCCTGCCCAGCGCTGCATTCTGTTGGCGCGAGGGTCATTCAGCTGCTCACGGAATCCTATTGCAGGACGTGAGCGCTATAGCTCCCTTCCACTAGTTCTATAAACGCTTGTCAAGAAGGCGTTTTACATCGCCCTTTCCAGGCCATTTAATGAGAACTAGTCATCCTCTTCATGCACATGTCGTATGTGAAGAGAGTATTCTAGTCTGAATTGGTGATACAAAGCAAATGGTGATAATTCGGGATTATTAACCGCTGTTTTACTAAGGTGGTCTCCTTTTATTTGTAACTTCCCAAGGAGGCTGCCCTGGTGTTTACATTTTGATGCCAACCGAAGCCCTTCCTATCTTTCCAGGCGTTTTAGTCTTTCCATTTCAATTGTTTGTAATCCCTTGCTGTATTTTAAATCTTTGACTTTTACTTCTATTTTATACAGTAGTATTAAATCTTTATAGTGTATCTTATGCTGTAATTTATAGTTTTGCTGTGAACTCTCCTGTGAGCTTTGGCTATTGGGCAGTATACAAGTGTAATGAATAAGTATTTATTTTATTTATTTAGGATATTTGTATGCCATCCTTTGCAAGAGCCTCGGGACGGCTTACACAAATAAAATACAAATATCTAACATAACATAAATTAATTAATGACCCACTCTGGCTGCAATTAAAATATGATGATAAAATTCAATATTAAAACTTTTTAAAATATTGATTAAATAAAAAGTTCTTAAACTGGTGCCAAAAAACATATAATGTCGGCGCCAGGCGGACCTCTCTGGGGAGCGCATTCCATAAGTAGATAAACTTTTAAAACTTACATTGTTTTAATGTTGTTTATGGTTTCATTTAATTTTCTACCCAGGTAGATGCAAACTAGAGCAGCAATGTATCACCTTTTTAATCTTTTGCTTGGTGCAGGATTTTGAATGGTGCAAAACGGTTGCATATATTGCCACTGTACATACGGTATTTTGATGAAACAAAAAACGTGCCTGGGGAAGAACAGAATTATAACAACATATCACAGCCTGACCTGCACACAATCCACCAAATGTCTGCAGGGAACATGCACACATGCATTGCTCAGAAAATGATTTACATATTACACTGAATTTGCATTCACACTTATTTATTTATTTATTTAGAAAGCTTCTATGCCGCCCCATTTGCCAAAGCCTCGGGGCAGCTCACAACAATAACATAATAACAATATAAAAACAATATAGTTGGAGACGTCCTGGCCAGATGTAAAATCAATAAATAATATTAACAATTAAAATGACATGTAAATAAAAAGGTCTTCACCTGGCGCCGAAAAACAAATAATGACGTGCCAGGTGGACCTCTCTGGGGAGCGCATTCCATAGATTGGGCGCCACCGCAGAGAAAGCCCTCCTCTGAGTACTTACCCTCCTAATTTCCTTCACGGAGGGTTCCCAGAGAAGGGCCTCTCCCGCTGATCTCAAGGGGTGGGCAGGCGGGCACATATGGACGTAAGCGCTCCTTTAGGTAACCAGGATCCAAGCCGTTAAGGGCTTTATAGGTGATAACCAACACCTTTAATTGGGCCCGGACTTCAATGGGAAGCCAGTGAAGCTGACGGAGAACTGGAGTCATGTGAACATAACGCCCAGTCCCCGTCAGCAGCCTGGCAGCTCTATTTTGAACCAATTGAAGTATCCAGACCGTCTTCAAGGGCAGCCCCATGTAGAGCGCGAAGTCAAGTCGGGAAGTCACCAACGCGTGTGTCACCGTCGCCAGGCAGTCGTTCTCCAGGTAGGGGCGCAGCTGATGGATCAGCCAAAGCTGAAAGAAAGTGCTCCTCGCCACCGCTGTCACCTGAGCTTCCAGTGAAAGCTCTGGGTCAAGGAGCACTCCCAAGCTGCGGACCTTGTCCCTAAGAGGGAGTGCAACCCCATTCAGGACTAGGTCAAATCCACCCTCTCCGAAGCCCGATCCGCCAACCAACAGGACCTCCATCTTGTCTGGATTGAGCTTCAGTTTATTGGCCCTCATCCAGCCCATTACCTCAGCCAGGCACCGGTTCAGCACAGCCACTGCCTCACCTGGATTGGTGGAAAACGAGAGGTAGAGCTGGGTATCATCAGCGTACTGATGATAATGTACACATACTGGGATGGCTGTAAGAATCTTGCCCTGTTCAGGCTTTCTGGTTTATTTTATTTATTTATTTATTAAAACATTTTTATGCCGCCCCATTCGCCGAAGCCTCGGGGCGGCTTACAACAAAAAGATTAAAATAACATTTTAAAATATATACAATAAAATACAAGTATATAATATAAAGCATACACTATAAAACAAGCCGCCCTGGCCAAATAAAATTCAATAATATTAACATTTAAAATACTGCTTAAATAAAAAGGTCTTCGCCTGGCGCCGAAAAACAAATAACGACGGCGCCAGGCGGACCTCTCTGGGGAGCGCATTCCATAACTTAGGCGCCACCGCTGAGAAAGCCCTCCTCCGAGTAACCACCCTCCTAACTTCTTCCATGGAGGGCTCCCGGAGAAGGGCCTCTCCCGCCGATCTCAGGGGGCGGCTGGGCATATAAGGATGTAAGCGCTCCTTCAGGTAACCAGGACCCAAGCCGTTTAGGGCTTTATAGGTCATTACCAACACCTTGAATTGGGCCCGGACTTCAATGGGAAGCCAGTGAAGCTGACGGAGAACTGGAGTCATGTGAACATAACGTCCAGTCCCCGTCAGCAGCCTGGCAGCTCTATTTTGGACCAATTGAAGTATCCGGACCGTCTTCAAGGGTAGCCCCACGTAGAGCGCGTTACAGAAGTCCAGACGGGAAGTCACCAACGCATGTGTCACTGTCGCAAGGCAGTCATTCTCCAGATAGGGGCGCAGCTGATGAATTAGCCGAAGCTGGAGGAAAGCGCTCCTCGCCACTGCTGTTACCTGAGCTTCCAGTGAAAGCTCTGGGTCGAGGAGCACTCCCAAGCTGCGAACCTTGTTCCTAAACCTTGTTTAGGAAGTGTATGACAAGGGGTGGAGTAAGAATGAAGATAAGCACACTAGCTCTCCTCTGCTGCTTTCACTGCTGTGTCCATCATTCCCCATATGCTGAGGGCAAATTTCTGCAACAGGAAGCTACTTTTGTATCCATACAGTTTGGAAAGGGAGCTATCTGTGATGCTGAATCTATTTTTGGCCTAGGGTTCAGTACCATGGATAGCTGCCTTGATGTTCCCTAGTGGAAACACCACACCACACAAGCATTGGAGCCACTAGCTGCCCACAGGAATGCAGGATACTGCCTGCTGCAGAAGTTCACCCTCAACGCATGGAAGGCAATGAGGATTGGTGCAGAGGTCAAGGGTAAAGCCAGTGCCCCCTCACACTCACTCCTGGAATATTCATTATTTGGTAAAGCAGAAAACCTAAATAGGGCTTCTGTCTATAAGCAATCATGCTTGATCTGAGTATGTGTACTGGGATGCCACTAAGTACAGAGTACAAAACATGTACAGCATGTATGTGCTTTGAGTGAAGATGCATATATTTGTGTATACTGATGAACATGTAACTGTCTCAGTGACAAAATCTTTTTGACCCTGAAGACACAAATGTAGAAAATTCTGAGAAGGAATTCTCAGGGAACTCATGGGGACAATGAAAGATTTGAGAGAAAATAGATGGGCAACCACATGGAATAAATAAAATCATCATAGACGATCGGAGCAAAGAACTGCGGCATTCAGCACTCATTCAGCAACAGCTCTGCAGCTAATAAACTAGGCCCTATAGTTGCATTGCAGCTCAGGGCTGTTAGGAGCACACAAGCTGGAGATGAGAGATATTTCCTGAAATATTAGCAAATAACAGATGTATCATTCTGCATCCCCCTTCTTGTTGTTTTTTTCTTTCTGTCAGAGACTAACCCAAAACAGTTACCTGATTTGTTCAAATTGCTTCCTCCCCTTGCTTGCCCTTTCATCAATGAACATTTTTCAATATACCTTTGTTAATTTACTTTCCTCCTCTTTCATACACAGTTTAATTCAGTTTTCAAAATTTCATAGTAATGGTTTTGGTGGGCATATCAAACTTAAAAAAAATACAGAGTTACACATCATATAATGGTTTAGGTAGAGTTATTAACTTTCCCAGAGAACACAATCATAGGCAAAATGCATTGAACATGTGAGGACTGATTTCTGTGTAAACTAGAGCAGAAGCAATTCTTTTAAAAATACTCTATATCCCCAAATTCCTTATTTCTACTGTTTGTTAATTAATAAATGAGTATTGCAGCATCTACATAAGGGACTGCAGTATTATTTCAGATATTTTTAGGGGGACAAATGTCTTCCAATGATTTAAAGTGCAACACATCTATATTTCAATATTAGCACCATAACCATACGCTCCCAGGCCAGAATGAACTTTCAGCCCATGGGCCATCTTGAGTAGGCTTCAATTCAGGAAAAAGTACCTAGTATACTGCACTAGCCAGGGTGAGAGAAGGATGTATGCTGAGATCCTTGTGGAAAAAAGGTCATTTGCTCGCTTAAAATGATAAAACAACCCTGCAACAAGGATGACCCATTGTCCTGAGACTCCTTGAAATTATCTCATCTGTAGCACCTGGCAAACACAGACAAGAACTCACCTCTTACCCAAAGAAACAGTAGTTAAGATCATCAAGAAGCAGGCAAGCACCATTCCAACAATTAGCATAAATCTGTGAAACTCATCTTTCCCATAGACACATGGTCAGAGAGAAACAGTATAAGAATCTGGGACTTAGAAAAGAGACACACAACCTCTGGACACTCAAGTTCTACACACAGGTTCTGAACTCAAAGTTCAACTACTGCAGGATAGGTAATGGATCCCCCACCCTTCCACCATTAGTCTTTCTCTCTGTTAGGCAGGAAGTTCTTTCTTTAGAAATATAGAGTAAGATTGGGATGCAATAGGAATATTTGCTGTCTGGACAACATCAGGTGCTTGTGCCTGCTCTATATTTTTCTGATGAATAAACTTTCCTTTCTAAGTGCTGTGCGTGTTTGTGTGAATGCAAAACCAGGACTTGTTTTCCCTGGACACATACATTAAACTCCAGCAAAAAATCCCAAACATTTTGAGGCAATCTGGAGGGCAAGTGCCTGCTTGCCAAGATTACCTGGTGTAACAAAACTGCATTTTATTTCATGTGACTAACCATGCATTAACCCTAATCAAGCCTTTCATAGTTACCCTTCTGTCATCTGAATTTGTATTCACTGTGTGTACTTGGAACATCAGAGGAAAATCTTTCTTCACTCAACAGAGGATCAAGAGCTTGAGTGATCTGCCTTCACCTTCTTCCCCATTATTCCCAAAAGTATGCTTTGAGTCAGCCCAGTTCAAGCAACTAATGAACTACAATTAGAATCTGAAGTGTACCAAAGCTTGTTGAATACAGAGCTGTTCAAACTTGTAAGCACATTTTGCCTACATGAAGGTTTAAAGGTACTGTTGGCACCTCCTAAGGACAGCCACTAGTTGACTTGGATAAATTACCGAGGTTTCTCAAAGCTTACTAGAATCTTACCCAGGCTACATTTCTACCTTTGAATTTATTATTCTTTATTCTTAGTATTTCTATACCACACCACAGCTGAACCTCTCTCATGGTTTACAACAAAGTATAAAACAAAAAATACAGTACAAGCATCCTAAAAGCAACTATATAAAAAGCATTTTAAATTAATTTTAAATAGCTTTAAAATGCAGTAAAAAAATTCCTGCAAAGGAAAAGAATCACCTGGATAATCCCCTCAGGCCCCTGGATAACCAAGGAGATCTTTAGAGGTCTCTGCATAAAGGCTGTTTGACCAGCCGCCAAAAAGATGGCAAGTTTGCTGCCAGGCAGGTCACAGCAGAGAGGCTGTTTCAAAGATGGGGAGGCACTACAGAAAAAACCCTCCCCTTTGTTGACACCCTTTAAGCCACTTTATTCTTTTTGGCATCTGGGGAAGACCTTTTTATTTTCCCAATATTTTAACAGTTAATTGGTTTTATCCTTGTTTTTATCATTATTTATCTGATGCAGTGTGTTGTGTGTTGTTTGTTGTATATAGTTGCTTTTTTTTTTTTTTTTTGTTTTTTGTAAGCTGTCCAGAGACTTTTAGCATATAAAAACTTTAAATAAATAAATAAAATTAATGGTATTGGCACTTGAAGAAAAGGGCCAGAGGCTGAGTGTAGTAAGAAATGAGGCATTTCAAATATGGAACAAGAAACTCAGAGCTACCTCTTGCATGTGGTAGGTATCATGTGATAATGTTGCTAAGCACCTGTTGACTTCTTGCAGAGAGTAGATCATCGTGAGATGCTATCAAACTGCAGTAACCTAAGTTAGATGTCCTTTGGTCTCACTTTACTGTGTCTAGGCTGAAATTAGGTGCTTCATGGTAAGGCTGACATTTGGAGGCTGGATCACCTTATCCCAGAAGTTGGCAACATGGTGCCCATGAGCACCCAGGTACTCCCAGATACCCTTCTTGGAACCCACCACTTTATATTTTTAAAATTAACACTTAACAGCAATTGGATTCAATTCAAAGCAAGGTGAGGGCTTCCCGCTGCTGCCATGTACATTTGAGTACTTCTGGTCCACACAGTGGGGCTCAGGAAAATTTTAAAGAAATGGATGGAGGGGAGTGGGTATTTTCAAGGTTGAAGGAAAAAAAAATTGAGAAGTCTGTTCTGTATAAAGTTGAGGCAGGCTAAGGAAAGGCATTAATAAGCCAGTTGGGAGACAGAGAAAGGTAAACCAGTAGGTAACTACAGTGGACAAGACAGGCAAGGCTTTTTGGAGGGATCCCAGAAAGAATGAGTGTTGGCTTTTGTAGGTGAGTAGGAAAGGACATATGGAAATGCATGATGAATACATATACACCTCACAGGGCTGTACTTGCAGTTTATACATCTAATAAGTAAATTTGTGTGTGTCAAGGAAATGAGGGGAATGAGCTGGCTGGCAGAGAATGGGGAAGAAGCATTTGCCTTCTGTGAAACAGGTTTCTGTTACTACTGTCAGCTTTTGAGTTGAAAGTTGTTTAGTTGGTTGGGGCCAATCTCTCTGCTTTGTACCCAGCTTTTTGGGCAGGTTATTTGTTCTTTGTGACCAGCCATGCCTCACATGGCAACCACGGTGTGATAGCACCAAGGCATGTTGCTAAATGCATCCATGGGACCAAAAAAGTTGCCTCTCCTTGCCTTCCATTAACTTGAACCAAGCATACTATTTTATACCACCAAAGTATGGGTCAAGTACAAAACACTGGCTTGGCTGCACAAGTAACCCAAGCAGTTGCTTGAAGCAGTAATAATCAGAGGTACTTGTGACTGCATACCGCCTGAAAAGCATGCCCAAGGATCACTAGAAGTAGCTAGGGCACAACTCTACAACATATAGATAAAAGGTAAAGGTTTCCCCTTGATGTTAAGTCCAGTCATGTCTGACTCTGGGGGGCGGTGCTCATCTCCGTTTCCTGGCCGAGGGAGCCAGCATCTGTCTGCAGACAGTCTCTGTGGTCATGTGGCCGCCATGACTAAACACCAAAGTGCACGGAATGCTGTTACCTTCCCACCAAAGTGGTACCTTTTTATCTACTTGCATTTGCATGCTTTCGAACTGCAAGGTTGACAGGAGCTGGGATGGAGCAATGGTAACTCACCCCGTTGTGCAAATTCGAACCGGCGACCTTTTGATCAACCCGCCCAGCAGCACAGCAGTTTACCACTGCGCCACCTGCATCCCCTACATATAGATACATGAGCCAAATGTCATGCCCGAGCACACTGCAAGCCATCCTGGGGAACAGCTCTCAGATGTGATTCTGCTTAACATCTTGGACTAATCCTGGAAACAGATGAGGAAGCTACATCCAATTTCTTTCCACTTCAAGGTCTGGTCATTTTTGTTGTGCCAACCAGTTAAGTAAGAAAAACAAAACATCCAAGTGATGTATTATAGCTAAGCCAGCTTCTTGATGTAGAACATTAGGCAGAAAAAGTGGGACCTGCAACAAAATTTTGCTGTGCATCTCCACCTCAAAACTCTTGCTCAGGGTTGCAGATGACCAGCCACATACACTTCCCTGACCAGTATGAGTGACAAAGAATCAGGCAGGGTATTTCAATCTCCACCCCATTTTCATTTTTCAACTGGTACATTATATGGCTGGTGAGCATGCTCAATTCTCATTGGGCTTCTGGTGCGGGGGGAGGAATATTTTCACTTCTGCAGACCTGTTTTCCCCAAGTGCACAAAACTCCCTCATTTCTCATTGCACCATTTCCATTGGCACTGGCCACCTCTGAATGCTATTAGGCAGAATTCATCCTCTAGCAGTCTGATTATGATTCTTTCAAGTGTAGCCAGACCCTTTTACTAGAATTACAGACAAGTGTTTACTTTGAACCATTTTTCATTCAAAGCTTGGGGATCCTTGATGTAGAATCTGGACTTTCCCTTCCAAAGGTAGCGTGCGCATAATAGGATAGAAGCAGATTAAGATAGTTACATTACAAAACAAACAGACTTGTAAGATTATAGTGACATAGTTTTATTTAATTAAAAAAATAGTTTTACAACTTGGACAAGAGTAACATTTTTCTTCCCACAACTACCTTGCTTGAACATTGTGCGTTATTGTTGGACAAACCATTTTCCTGACAAGATTTCCTATGCTATTAATATCATTATTAAAATAATTGTATTTGTTATTCTGTATTTTTCCTATTTCTATACCACATTTGTTTCATTACAGCAATGTCAATGAACCTGAAACCATTTCCAGGCTTACATTCACTCAAGTGGATGAGTGCAGTACGAACAGCATCACAGAACACAAGGAACGCTTCAGTAACAGATATCTTGATCTGTCTTCTGCTAACAGGACTTCTCAGATGAGTTTTTATAGTTCCAATTTCTCCAGAGGAGAAAAATAAGGCCAAATAAAGTGATTTTAACTGAGTGAACAGAATTAATATGCATGACATTTCTTACATAAAGAGCAGTTGCAGGAAAGTCTAAGCAGGCAGGGTGGGAACAAGTGAGAATTTAACTCTGTTGTTAATGTCCTAAGAAGTCACATCTCCAAAGTGCTATCTAGATTCAAAGCAAAGCCCCATTAGTACCAACCAAGGCTTCCTTGAAAGGAAAGCACCTGATTCAGAGAAGTACTTTGTGTTGATAGCATAAGCAGGAACAGAAAGAGTTAAATTTCCCCTTCCTACGCACCATTTATAGTTCCAGAGTTGCTCAGTCTTTCCCACGCTCTTTATTCACACAATTAACTTCACATCTAGTTTGACCCAAAGGCAAGACATAGTCTTCATTACTAGATTAAAAGTTTCACTTTCATCTTTTGGTTACCCAACCCTTCTTTCATCAAGCTGGTGATGGTTCTCACATTTTCCTGCTACAGTATTCACATTTCTGTTTGAAAGGGCTACTAACTCCTCAATCTGAGGCAACCTGAAAAAAATCACAATATGTGATTTAGATGGAGGATGATGGTGCTCTTATGACTAAATCTAAGATGGATTAGACTCCCCTGATCTTACAGCTGGGAGTACAGCATCTTTTATATCTGTTTACAAGATCAATTTCACCAAAAAACACAAATGTAAGAAAACCTTAGGTGGTGAAGAAAGTGTGTAAATTTACATAACAGAATAGCTGTTTCAATGCTTTTCTTATGGAAAAGTATTTGCATTCAATGAAAATGATATTTATATATAGGTCTATTTTCCAGCTTTCTGCATCTGAGTGTCAGTAGCATGCTCAGCTGTTATGTCAGAGGTGAAGCTCACACATGATTGCAAGCTCAGTACGGCAAACCCAGCAACAGAATGGAATGTCACAACCATACACAAGAATTCTTTCTTACACTCATTTTGCATATCCCTCCATTCTTCCTGTTTTCTTCATTTGTTATGTAGCAAGAAGAGCACCAGATTACCGGCTTGCTATAATATGGCTTATAATAAACGTTTTTCCATACACTATTCTTCTCCTACATGGAAAGTATTTCCATATTGGAAGCCACACACAGTTCACAGGTAATTGCCTCATAGACACAAACATTTTGCTGCAAAATGCATTTTGCTGCATCGCCCAATTGGCAATGATTTACAAACATGTGTGCACACAGATGCATGCTCTGGACTGCAGCTGTGCCTCACACTGCAGTTAAAGACCCCCCAGTGTTCCTGCCTGGAACCAACAAAGCTTCCAGGCCATAAAAGGCTTCCCAACTGTTGTAGAAACCTGCAATGTTGACATGGTCCCACCATGGGAGCAGGTTAACATTCCTAGAATCTAGGCCAAGGAGCACTACTGCAAGCCTAAGACCTACTTGTTATGAATTTATTCAGCCCTCTCATTGCAATTATTTTGCCTTAAATAAGTATGGTCAAAATTTTAAGAGGCATCACACTACTTAATTTCCAGCAGGAATCAGAGGAAACTATCACAAAGATCAACTTCCATCCAATGTTGGCAAATGCATTTGTGCTATGGTGCAAAAACAAGAGCTGTAGGTTAGCCTCTCCAGCTTCCTCCCCTCCCTTCCCTCCAAAACACCCACTTTTCCCCCTCTCTGAGGTCAAGTTTCTTACTTCAAAGAGCACTGTGAGGGGGAAGAAACTGAAACCCCAATTCCCTGCTCAGAGGTCAGCATACTGTGTGTGACCTCAGAGCTGGGAATCCAAAAGCCCTCTGGTCCCTCAGCTACTGTCTAGGGGCCCTAGCAATGTTCCCTGATCCTTTGGAGGAGCTGAAGAAAGTCTAACCTTTCTCAGAACAAACCAAATCTGAATATACATTGCTTCTTGCACTCTCCATGCCCTAAAATACCTATGAATTAAGAGATACACCTGACATTTCATGAAGTCAGCAGGACAATCCATCTAGTCCTACTTGATAGGTAGAGACAAACAAAAAATAAACCTTTAGACCAGGATGGGGAGCATGTGGCCCTCCTGATGTTGCTGACCCACAACTCCCATTATCCTTCACCACTGGCTATAGAAGAGAGGAATTACAGTCTAAGAACATCTACAGGGACGGACAGCCCCCACCACTGCTTTAGACACTCCGAACAGGCAAACAAGGTAGGTCTACTACAGCTTGTGTCTGTCTATGAGAAGTGTATTTAGCATTCACTGGTGTGCCTCTCCCAGAGTATTGTTCTTCTACCACCACAACCAGTTCAATTTGAAGACTGCCACTGGTTCCAGTTCTTGGCTGCTGCCCCAATTCTTCAAACTCCTTTGAAAATCGGCCTGCCTACCAACCAGCAATGGGATCGCCTGGGCTAAGTAAAAAGCAATTTTCAGTTTCCAATAGCTTCATGTATGGCCTGTCTGTCTCAAAAGGGGGAATCAGCATCCCTGCAGCATGCTTCCAACCTTCTACAGATGGGACCTTAGACCAAAATAGTTTATTTGAAGCATTTTGGTTTATATAGTATTCTTAAGAAAGCTGTAGTTGAATAGATTCTGTTTCTAACAGGTTATTAATATAGTACAAATGTATGTCAACCCAGGTAACAGTCTTGAATAACAGCATTTTAATACGTGGATACACTAATAAATAGGGACCAGCAGATCATCCTTTGCCCAACATAGGTGCTAAACAGGTCCACATTGTGCATGTTAAGCACTTTCTGCTGCAGCGTTGTTTCTCCTCTGCTCCCTCCTTCGGTAATCCCGGATAATACTGCACATGCCACTGATCAAGAACACTGCAGAAATGGCAGCAAAGTAACCAGCATAGATCATGAACTGGAGAAAACAAGGTAGGGTGGGGAGAGAGAGAAGTGGTGAAACTAGAGCACATTCATCTTATGTAGGGCTGGTCATACCACAATGTAGGGTGAAGCAGCCTGTCCATTGTTATGGATTTGGGGGTCCCATCATAAAGTAAACAGACAATTATTTAGTGATGTTTTTAACTGAACACGGAAGGGCAGAAAGGAAATCACCATTTCGATGCCTTGTTCTGCTTAGGATGACATTTTATTCTGCTGGGTAAGATTAAACAGCTTAGGAAAACATTTGTCCTTCACCATCCATTTTTATCCATGTCTTCTTTAGGTACATTCAAACAGAAAGCCAAGGCAATGATAATCTTTCATTTCAAAAAGAAATATGGACAATAGCATATGGCTCCACTGAACTTGTTACACATAACCCAGGCAGCTCTGGAAGCCAGATTATTATAAGTACTCCAAATGTCCATCAGAAGCATGGCTGAAAAACCATCTCCCCCCCAGCAACACACTGCAAGGTGTCATTCATTCAAAGCCAAGATGCTGGGACCAGAAATGCCATCTCTTCCCTTGGAAAGTGCCAAAGGACTTTACCAGGAAGCCTGCACCTTCTTTTTCTCCCCCTCTCAAAATAAAACCATGAGCCTTACCTGTCTATATATGTCAAGCTTAAGACCTTTTGCATCGACAACTATCAATGTGAGTAGTGTCTGCAGTGCCAAGGCAATGAACGTATTGATGCCAAACACGAGGGCATAGCGCTCTACACTTAAATTTGTAGCAATCTGAAACCTTTGGAGAAAAACAGAGCAGAAAGTTAGAATGTGAGCACAGGAGCATTAATTCATGGTAGGCAAGTGGATGTGTCCTTCCAGAATGGATCACCAAGAGAGTTGTGGAGACAGCCTGGATGCCATTAGTGTGCTTCTCACACAGCACTTCCCCAATCTCTCATTTTAAAAGCAAAGGAGGAATAAGAGAGAGGGAAACTACGTGCTCTGCCATCTTTCCTCCCACAAACTCTGAACTTAAGTCAGTGCCATATCAAAGCCCTGGTCAAGAAAAAGGTGTCTGGTGAAAGGGCTATGAGAAGGTAACCTGCAGACAGGGGAAGAGTTTTTACATTCTCCTGTGCTCCTCTATTTTTAATCCTCTTTTTGCAGGTTGGGAAGGTTGCATGCTTAAATCTCACACAGCTGTCACAATCACTTCCTAATTTGGTTCTTGAGCACATTTCCATAGGCAGTGACCTTACTCCATCAACTCCACGGCTGACATTTTCAAAGGGAAATTCAAAGCAGTCTAACTGGTTGCACTACCCCAGTAACCTTGGGAAACACAGATTAACATGTTCATGGTGATGACCTAACTCAGTGCCGGGAGAATAAATGAGGTGCAGAAATATTAACTGCAAAAATGAGTTATAAATTACACAGCATTTGTCAACTCTGGAGGTAGAGAGGAACCCAGTATGCCTAAGGAAAAGAATGGGAGGAGAGAACCTGACAAACTGGAATTCAGCTGCAAAGAATCAAAATTGATTCAGCAACAGCCACTATGACATTAAAATGCCTTTCTGGAGTGCATTAATCAAGTCACTATATAGGAAAATCGTGCATTACCACTCTTGCCTGGCACAGTTTGATGCAGGACAGTTGATCAGTTGAGTGGATAACAATTCCGCATAAAGCAAAGGTGAGAAAGGAATTGGAATACACAGCAAGGACTAGCTGAAGAAAGTAAGGGCAGTATCCAGTGCAACACTGCAGCTGATATAAAAACTTTCAAGTGCACTGCTAAATGCACTTGCTGATGCAACTGGTGTTGCACTTGACATCATTTACATTAAGGAAAGTGACCAGATGAGCCTTTTATCCTACAATTGCCTGGCCTCATTCACAAAATTTTATGGTAGTGGTGAGGATAGATAACAACATTTTACAGCTCTAACCCCTCCCAGGTTTCCCCCTGATTCATTTAGCTTTTCTTCTTCCTGCAGAAAAGCCCTTAAGGAAAACAGATGAACTAGTCACACAGGGCCTCCTCACTATTTAAGCTGGATCCCCTTCATCTGGAAGTACCATGTGTATGTGTGTGTTTGCTCCACAAAGGGGGAAGGGGAGTGAAATACTGGCATTTCTGGCAGCATTTCAAGACAGTTAAAAATCACTGCTTACCAGCACAGCTAGGATTCCTGTAAGTTGCAAAACAAACATGTGGCCTCATCTATACATGTTTACTCTGTTTACTTCTTGGAGAACGACTGCCTGGCGACAGTGACACACGTGTTGGTAACTTCCCAATTAGATTTCTGCAACGCGCTCTATGTGGGGCTACCCTTGAAGACAGTCCGGATACTTCAATTGGTGCAGAATAGAGCTGCCAGGCTGCTGACAGGGACTGGGCGTTGTTCTCATATAACCCCAGTTCTCCGTCAGCTTCCCTGGCTCCCCACTGAAGTCCGGGCCCAATTCAAGGTGTTGGTTATGACCTATAAAGCCCTCAACGGCTTGGGTCCTGGGTATCTAAAGGAACGCTTGCGTCCATATATGCCCTCCCACCCCTTGAGATCAGCAACAGATGCCCTTCTCCGGGAACCCTCTGTGAATGATATTAGGAGGGTGAGTACCCGGAGGAGGGCTTTCTCTGCGGTGGCGCACCATCTATGGAATGCGCTCCCCAGAGAGGTCCGCCTGGTGCCGTCGTTATTTGTTTTTCGGCGCCAGGCTAAGACCTTTTTATTTAAAACATATTTTAATGGTTAATTTATTGGTTATTTATAGGATTTTAAATCTTTTAAGCCGAGATGCACCGGGTTTTAATATTTTTATCGTACAATTTGTTATATTTTGTTCTTGTTGTGAGCTGCCCTGAGGCTTTGTTGCGATGGGGGCACCATAAAAATGTTTTAAATAAATAAATAAATACTCTGAACTTAATTCCAGTCAAGTGCATGGGGCTTACTCTTCAATAAATATGCACAGAGTTTCAGTCTTAGTTTGAAAATCAGAACATTCTTGCACTGAAACCTGTTTTCAGAACAAATCATAGGAGGCTTTAAGAACAAGATGATCAGTGAGCTACGCTTTAAGTATAGGAAACTGGATGTTCAAGCAATCAGACTCATCAATTTCTTTCAAATCTGATTATTTAAGCAAAAGGTATGGTCTCAAATCAATAATTTATTTATTTATTTATTTATTAAGACATTTATATGCCGCCCCATTTGCCGAAGCCTCGGGGCGGCTCACAATATGAAGAAAATTACAGTAGTGACAATATAAAAATAACAATATAAAATAAATAACAATATAAAAGAAGTCGCCCTGGCCAGATAAAATAAGCAAATACTGTTAACAATTAAAATGACGCTTAAATAAAAAGGTCTTCGCCTGGTGCCGAAAAACAAATAACGACGGCGCCAGGTGGACCTCTCTGGGGAGCCCCACGTAAAGCGCGTTACAGAAGTCCAGACGGGAAGTCACCAGCGCGCGTGAAGGAAGTCACTTGGGAAGGGCCATAGCCCTGTGGCAAAGTACTTGCTTTGCCTGCACATAGCCCAGGTTCAATTGCCAGCATCTCCAGGAAGGGCTTGGAAATATGCCCTTCTAAAATCCTGGAGAGTTGCTACCAATGTAAACAATACTGAGCTAAATAGCTTTTGTGTAAAGCACCTTTCCATGTCTCCCCACATAAATTTATGGCAGCCTCCTGAGAATACAATTTTCCTCCTGCAACAATGTAAACGTTAAATCTATTGATACCCAGGACCTTCCTGTCCTTATGTACCTTCTGTGATCACAGTATTGCTCAATACTGAGGCATTGACAACATCTATTAACTTGGCCAATAGGTACTAGTGTGTTGTATGCTTTACTGTACAGCTATTGCATTACATTGCAGCAATAATTTCATTGTGGAAATCTACTGAATTCATATATGCAAGTATACAAGTATATGAATTCAGTGTAATTCATATACTTACATACACTGAATTCAGTATAAGGGCAGTAGCTCGAAACACCTACTGCCCTTTCTTGTTTTCTTTTGTTGTTGTTGACTCAAATATGTATGCTTGAAGACATCATTGAACATGCAAATGTCATAATACAGAGAGCCTATTTGCATCCTGATACTTCAGATTGCCAATGACTTATTGGTTACATGTTCTAAGCCACAGAAGTTTGGCAAGGCAGTCATAAGATGTAGATCACCAAAAACAAACAAATGAGCAAAACTTCACGCAGCGGCGGCTCTTTCCTCCAGCGCGATGTAGCGGCGTGCTGCTGGAGGTGGGCGGAAGTCTTTCTTGCAGCCAAAGGGGTCGCTGCCATTTGGGAGCTGTTCGGGGGACGAGAGGGGGGCTGGGCTGGCCAAGGACTTTTGTTGAAATAGGCTTGCCTACCGCTGAATCTTAGGGAAGGGGAAGGATTTTTTTTTCTCTTTTTCTTCTTCTTTTTATCTTTCTTTTTCTCCTCTTTCGAACTGCTTTATAATTTTACCCTGCTTTAATCAGTGCTTTTGAGTCATCCCTGGGCATGTCAACGTTTACATATCCTGGGGAACACACGGGCGCTGCCATTGGCGTGGTCACGGGCAATGGTCGTTACAGCAATAGGGGCTTAACGTGTCCACGTAGAAG